AGCTGGAGTACCGGCGCCGACTGAGAGCACTTCCGGGATCGATCTATCGCGTCTTAACCAGACGCGATAAATCGATCCCAGAACATCGATGGCGTGCCGCCGGACCAGCCGGTAAGTGAAGACTAGGCCTGAGAGCGATCAAAGCTTGTTAGATAGGTGAGAAGAGTTAAACTCTTATGAGATGTTGCTAATAAAGGTGGAAAGTGGGCAGTTGCCGGTGAAAGAGGAGATCTCAGCGGGGGTTCTGAGAAGGATGATGGCAGACTCAATGAGGGGAGTATTCAGTGGATCATGAATGAGGATTGCTGCAATATTGGAGACAAGTGGTGGGAGCTCGTAAAAGAGCTACCTGAGTTTCAGAGAACGTATCACAATCCTTAAACACTGGGGGGTTTCACGTAATGGAGTACAGAGTCAGGGCAATGGTGGGACCATCCAGTCTAATAGTTCTTTCTCCAGCATCTCACCTTTATATTTCATTGGGGCAGATCCTGGTCTCCTCCCCCCAAATAGAAATGAATTTACCTCTGCAGTCAGTGAAAGCGATCTCACAGGCATGTCTACAGTTACGTGACATCAAAGTGAGGGACACTTCAATTAAAAGCCTCTCAAGAGTGTAAAAAGAAGAACAGGAGTACTTGTGGCACCTTAGAGACTAACAAATTTATTAGAGCATAAGCTTTCGTGGACTACAGCCCACTTCTTCGGATGCATATAGAATGGAACATATATTGAGGAGATATATATACACACATACAGAGAGCATAAACAGGTGGGAGTTGTCTTACCAACTCTGAGAGGCCAATTAATTAAGAGAAAAAAAACTTTTGAAGTGATAATCAAGCTAGCCCAGTACAGACAGTTTGATGATAAGTGTGAGAATACTTACAAGGGGAGATAGAGTCAATGTTTGTAATGGCTCAGCCATTCCCAACCTTTATTCTAACCCCCCTTGTATGTGCTCTCATACTTATTATCAAACTGTCTGTACTGGGCTAGCTTGATTATCACTTCAAAAGTTTTTTTTCTCTTAATTAATTGGCCTCTCAGAGTTGGTAAGACAACTCCCACCTGTTTATGCTCTCTGTATGTGTGTATATATATCTCCTCAATATATGTTCCATTCTATATGCATCCGAAGAAGTGGGCTGTAGTCCACGAAAGCTTATGCTCTAATAAATTTGTTAGTCTCTAAGGTGCCACAAGTACTCCTGTTCTTCTTTTTGCGGATACAGACTAACACGGCTGTTACTCTGAAACTCTCAAGAGTGTGACAGACTGGTTGCTCAATGGAAATAGTTGTTTAATATTGGTGGGGTTGAATTGGATTCAGTACATTCGGGAATACTTTGGGGGTAATTTCAAGACCTGTTTGCTGATAAGTTGATCTCTTGTCAAGGTTTCACTGTATGTGATGTCGGTAAAGAGCAATTGCTAATTTCATTTACTGACCCTTATAAAATGTTCTACACTGGGCTGGTCTACACCAGAAAGTTAGGTCCACCCAGCTCCATCGCTCAGGGGCATGAAAAATTCACACCCCCAAGAGAGGTAGTTAAGCTGACCTAAGCCCTGGCGTAGACAGCACTAAGTCGAGAGAAGGATTCTTCCATTGACCCATGACCACCTCTCGGAGAGGTGGATTTACCACTGTGATGGAAGAACCCCTCCTGTCAGTGTAGTAAGTGCCTACACTGAGCTGCTACAGCTGTGCCACTGTCGCATTTCTAGTGTAGACACGGTCTGAGAGAGGTGCGGGTCTCCGAGTGGCCCAGATGCAGGATTTAAGACAAGCAAGTTTGAAAATTTTACCCTTAGTCTCCAGGTGCTACAGAAAAACCAATGCTTATGAGTCTGTCGGGTGACAGCAGCAAAATTCCTTTCATGACTTCTTAGAGTCTGTGGGGGTGTTAGGGAAACAATTTAGAAGGAAGTTTGCAATGTGACATGTCGGCAGAAAAAGGCTTTGGGCTGCAGAGGCGTAACGTCCTAGAGCAGAGAGGGGAGAGAGCCCCTAGGGCTCGGAGAGTGATCACAATTGGAATATTGCATTCAGATCTCAACACTTCCTCACCAGGCAGGGTAAGTTACAGGGGTTCTAGAGAACAGCAATAAAACTGATTGGCGTTTGGAAGGATGGGGGCTTGTTGGGTGGCTCAAGGATTTATAACGGAGAATAATGGTATAATACTGAGCCAAAAGAAAACGTATGGTAACAGGAAAACTTCCTAACAGATGGAGCCAGCGCTTAAGTGATAAAAGCCCCATCAAAAACTTGCATAAAACTAATTTGGAAAAAAAAATGGAGACTGCAGAGTAGGGAACAACCCTCCAACATTTCCCAATATAGACATTCAACGTGAATTAGTAGGTCTCTTCCATCCACCTCTAATTTCATTGACGCTATCAAATCTGGTAAAAACACACAGAAGAACCATAGGAAGTGAGTTCTGTGGGCCCGTGGTGCCTGGGCACCAGGAATATTCCTGGCCCAGGGCCCAGCTCCAGCAGTGTTTGAGGCCAGGTCTCTCCCTCGCCCCTGCCTTCCGCCCCCGGACACTCCCCCCTGCGCGTCCCCCAGGTGATTTAAAACGGCCCCCCCGGGGTCCCCACTCATCACCAGCAGCGCAGCAGAGCTGAGCGACTCCCTGCCTGCTTGCTCCACGTGGCTGCTGCCCCCTCCCTGCGGCCCTTGGGCGGGCTGGGTCTCTGTCCCACCCCAAGCGCCCCTGCAGTCAATAGGAACTACAAAATGGATGTAACTTAATCCCGATCGTCACTGGGACAGTGCTGAGCACCTGGAACAGTGGGCTTGGCTACACTACCCACCGGATCGCAATGATCGACTGCCAAGCGCTCGCCCGTCGACTCCGGTACTCCACCAGAACGAGGAGCGCAAGCGGAGTCGACGGGAGCGTGTCAGCTGTTGACTTACCGCAGTGAAGACACCACGGTAAGTAGATCTAAGTACATCGACTTCAGCTACGCTATTCATGTAGCTAGAGTTGCGTATCTTAGATAGGTTCCTTAGGGCTTATCTACACTACTGCGCGGGATCAAACATACAATGAAACCTACTTTTGTTTTCTTCTCTCAGCAGTGTTGATTTTTTCCCCACAGGATTTCCCTGTTTCCCTGGGTGAGTGCTCTTCCCCTTGAGCTCCTTCCTGTATATCCACTTGCATATCATCTTCCACTTTGCCCATCTTATTTTCACTTTTATCTGTCTCACCTTCTCTTAGAAGCTTCTCAGGTGCTTTACACACCAGATGGTCTTTATTCCTCTCCACCATATCAGCAATCTTAGTCAGCAGCTCTTCAGCCTGGGCAGTCCGTTCCGCCCATGGAGCTTTATTGTTGAAAGCGCACAATCGGCCCTGACACTGTTCGATCAGCTGCCAAAGATGATCCAAGTGGGAGATATAGTCCTCCAGGGTTCCACTCCGTAAGTCTTCTCTGCCGGTGAATAAGACGATTGTGTACTTCATGGCCTCGGGGCCAAAAATCTCTTGTACTCTCCTCACGGCGCGCTGGTCTTCCTCAGTGAAATGGCCCCGCTGGGTCACCAGCACCAGAGCGTGGGGGCCTGGGGAGGAGAGCTCCATACAGCGACTGATCTCACGGGTGGTTTGTTCATCAGAGTCCTTAGTGTCAAAAATAGCAGGTGTGTCAATAACCACAATCTTCCTTCCATTCCAGGTCCTGCTGCCTTCAGTGCATGTCTGAGTAACGGGTGTTGCTGCCAGTACGGACTCAAACTCCTCCCGCCCAAGGATGGTGTTTCCTGTCGCACTTTTCCCACCTCCACTCTTACCGACGAGGATGATCCTCAGTTCTGATTCCCCAGTGCGTCGGCTGCCGCTCCCCGGCCCTGTTGGGAACAAGTGTGACAGATTCAGAACATCACTGCGCAGGTACCAGAGAGGGGGCAGAGAACTAAGATTAGTGGCCCTGTGCTCACACTTGGCTTAATGCTTTAACTTTCTATGGAAGGGTAAATGGGCAGCCAAGGGGGCTACTGATCAAGTCAGTAAATCCTAGAGGTCTTGGATCCAAATGACTCCTGCTGACAGTGAAGTGAGCTCACGTCTCATCCTAGTGAACCTTTATACACTGGGAAAACCTCGCACAGCACAGCACTTTGCAACATCTGGTGAGGACAGACCTAGGACTGGAGGACTGGGGAGTGTTGCATTCAGGACAGAGGCCTGTTAATGGAGCTGTGTTCGGTCCCAGACAGAAGCAGGAGATGAGGACTGGAGTTTATTGGCACAGCTGAGGGTCCAAGGCTGGAGAAGCGCTGGATGCAGCAAGTTGGGGCTGCTTTGTAATGAGGGCTGGGACAGGGTGAATTGGGGGTAAGGAGGGAAATATGGAGCCCCAGGACTGAAACAGGAGGGGTTGCTGAGAGTTCAGACTGAGGTTCATGAATGGAGCTTTGAGACACATTTGCATGTCACGTGATTCCGTGCCCATTGTAGGAAGTGAAAGATCCCTGGGATTGTATTAAATTCCAAACATGAAACCAGCACGCACGGCCATGAATTCTGCTACTGCTTGGCAAGAGTACAAAAATATATAGTATCTGGCCAGCTGTTTGGGATAAACCGATGGCTGGGGTGGCAGGGAGTACTGCAGTTCAAGACTGACGTGCATAAGCAGAGCCACGTAGGAAGCCCAAGAACTGAAATAGGAAGCTGAGTGGCAGGTGAGAACCGAAGTTCCTGAACCAAGCTGCAAGAAAATTTTGCTTGTCACCTGAGAGCACTGGCCCATTACTCTGGGTAAAGCGGTGGATGTTTTGTTTAGCAGTGTTTTGTATTCGGAGGGAGTACTTTGGTAAACGGGATGATGCAAGCCTCCACCCGCACCAAGTCGCCCGGGTCCTGGACCACGAGGAGCATGTCGTCGGCATACGCCGACAGGACCAGCCGCAGCTCCGGCTCCCGAAGCACCAACCCCGTCAACCTCCTGCAGAGGAGACAGAGGAAGGGCTCGATCGCCAGAGCGTACAGCTGGCCCGAGAGGGGGCACCCCTGTAGCACTCCCCGCCCGAAGCTGACCGGCTCGGTCAAGGTTCAGTTGAGCTTGACCAGACACTCTGCGGAGGCGTACAGCACCTGGAGAAAACCCACAAACTGGGTCCTGAAGCCAAACGCTCACAGAGTGCCCAGGAGATACCCGTGGTCCACCCTGTCGAACGCCTTCTCCTGATCCAGGGACAGGAGGGCGAACGACAGACCATCCCTACACCCAAGTTCCAAAAGATCCCGGACCAGGTAGAGGTTATCAAAGATGCTACGGCCCGGGACGGTGTAGGTCTGGTCTGGGTGGATCACGTCCTCCAGCACAGACCCCAGCTGCAGCGAGATGGCCTTGGCCACGATTTTGTACTCCGTGTTGAGGAGCAAGACGGGACGCCAATTCCGTAAGTCGCGGAGGTCCCCCTTCTTCGGCAATAAGGCGAGCACGGCTCGCCTGCACGAAAGAGGGAGGACCCCGCTCCGCAAGGCCTCGGCCCAGACGGTGACTAAGTCCAGGCCAAGGACGTCCCAGAACACGCGGTAGAACTCCACGGTCAGCCCGTCCATGCCCGGAGATTTATTGGTGGGCATGCGACGGAGGGCTTCCGAGAACTCGGCCAGAGAGAGAGGCAACTCTAGCCGGTCCCGGTCACCCGCGCTGACCGTCAGGAGTCCGTCCCAGAGCACTCTGCAAGCGGTAGGGTCCGTCGGATCCAGGGAGAAAAAGGTGTGCGTAGAAGGCCCTGGCCCTCTCACACATCTCCATCGGATCCATGAGGGGGGAGCCGTCCTCCACCAGGACGCAGGTGACGTGCCTCTTGGCCCCCCCTCCTTTTCTCCAGGGCGTAGAAGAAGCGGGAGCCGTGATCCATCTCCCGAAGGAGGCGGATGCGGGATCGAACAAAAGCACCCCGGGCCCGATGATCGTCGAGGGTCCGGAGCTCCTCCCACTTCTCCCAGCACGCTCCGCAAAGGGATGGATCCTCAGGGCTGGCGGCTAGACGCCTCTCTAGCTCTAAGACCTCCCGTTCCAACTGCTCTATCGCCGCATCCCTCCGTCGGCTGGCGCCCCGGGTGTAGTCGCGGCAGAAGAGCCGGGCGCGCACCTTTCCTAGGTCCCACCATCGCCGTGCCGAGGGAAAGGCACGCCGCTGCCCTCGCCAGACCAGCCAGAACTCCCAGAAGGATGCCACGAAGCCCACATCCTCCAGCAAGCTATTGTTAAAGTGCCAATAGGCCGGCCCCGGCCTCTCCGCACATAGAGAGGCCGTCACAGTGACTAGATGGTGATCTGAAAAGGGGGCTGGCCGCACGTCGGAGGAGTGGGCCCGTGAAAGATGGAGACGTGACAAGTAAATGCAGTCCAACCGGGAGTGGCACGACCGATGGGCTTCCACCCGGACATAGGTGAACATGGAGACATCGTCCGGGTGGTGGTCGCGACAGACGTCCACCAGGGAGTGATGTTCCACAATCTCCCGGAGGACGTCCGCGGCGGCCGGGCACTGCTCGGTCCCCGAGTGGTCCCGCTCCTCGAGGGTAGCATTGAAGTCCCCGCCCAGGACCAGGCACTCACGAGGATCCAAGGAGCTGAGGAAGGCGGATGCCTGCTGATAAAAAGGAAGCCGCTCCGGACCCGATGTCGGGGCATAGACGTTGACAAGATTGACCACAAGCTCCTCCATGTGGACCCGGAGGTGCAGCAGGCAGCCCGGCACAACCTCGGCAACCCCCAGCACCTCGGGCCGTAGGTTGGGGGAGAACAGGGTAGCCACTCCAGCCGTACAAACTGTGAGATGGCTAAAATAGACCCTGTCCCCCCACTCCAGCCGCCAGCTGTCTTTGGCGGCCGGATCCGTGTGGGTCTCCTGCAGGAAAACCACAGAGTACCCCCCTTCCCGAAGGAAGGAGAGCACCTGGCACCTGCGAAGACCCACCCTACAGCCCCGGGTGTTCAATGTAGCGAAAGTGATAGGTGGCATGAAGAGGGCTGGGGGGGATCCTCGCTGGCAGGGACGCTCACGGCCCCCATTGGGCCACACAACAAACCATGACCCACCCCGAAGGCGAGCAAGGAGTCACGGAAGCTGCGGACCCACTGGTAAGCCGCAGCACCCTGCTTCCCGGTCCTTTTACCCTCCCCCATGAGGGCCCTCACGGCCCGGAGGATCTGGTGGAAATCCCCCCATCGCTGGAGAGCAAGCGGCACCTTATTGCGGGAGCCACGCACATCTTCTAAAAACTCCCGCAGCTCTTCTCGCAGCGTATGGGGGGGTGGGGTCACTGGCTGCAGATCATCCCCTGTTGGGGCCCCTGGCACGGCCCCGTGACTCACTGAGACGGGCAGGCAAGGGGCGGACCCTCGACGTGGCGCCCGATGGACCGGCGCCACATGGCCCGCCTCAGTCCCCGGCTCAAAGGGGGGCAGCAGCGGAGGGAGGATAGCAGCCCCTAGCGGGTCGGGACTGGGGAACACAAAAGCCGCTCTCTGGGGGTCACCCTCCGGGAAAGAGAAGGAGACATCCCCAGAGGCGGCAATGGCATCGTGGGAGGTGAAGGGGATAGGGCCGGGGTCAGGAGTAGGGGTAGGGCCGGGGACAGGAGTAGGGTCGGGAAGAGGGCCAGAGGTGGGATCCTGGGCCCCAGGAGTTGGACAGCTGGAAGGTAGCTCCTCTCGGTCGGGCCCAGGGGTCTGAGGGTTAGGGAGGGGGTCCCCAGGGATGCCGGGCTCAGGCTCTACGGCAGATGGAACAGCCACGGCAGCAGGAGGTGAACAATCTGCAACGGGGCCCCCACCCGGGAAGGAACTTGGTTGCCCCACACCAACAAGGGATACCCCTGGTAACTCGGGTCCCGGCCGCGAGGCACCGGCCGTCGCCTGAAGAGGCTCGGCGGCCGTCAGCGAGGTGTCACCCGCAGCCGGGCAGGTCAAGGAGTCCAGGGGTTCCTCTAAGGCAGGAGCAGCAGTCAGGGGAACAGGAGACGGAGAAGGGGGGGTTGGGGTGAGGTCAGCCAGATCGAGGCCCGCTGGCAGAGGGTCGTCCTCCCCCTGGGTGACCGGGGTCAGACCCAGGGCCTTGATCTCCTCATAAATAGAAGGGAGTTCACCTCCCACCACCCCGGGATCATCCCCGCTAGCACCCGAGGCAACACTTCCCTCGGGCAGCACAGTAGATACAGATGGCAAGGGGACAGGAGGGGCTTCAACGGGGGCCTCCGCGAGGAGGGACTGCGGAGAATGGATGGCGGCATCCTCCGGTGCTGCCACAGCTTCCCCAGCCGGCAACGGTAGATGCAATGTACCCGCGGGCATGGCGGAAGGCTCGGCAGCGGTGCCCCCCTTCCTGGTTTTCCAGGGCGCCTCCGCACCGGATGGCAGGAGCGGAGCTCGAGCCTTCCGCTTGCCCCGCTTTCCCTGTGCTAGGGTCCAGCCCTCCATGGCATTATCTGCGGGCTGGGTGACAGGGGTTGGGTCGGGGGCCAGAGATGATGGCTCGAGGACCTGAGGAGGTAACAATGGGGCAGCAGGAGTGGGGCCGGATTCCCCCTGGGGAGGGCCCTCTCCCGCGCCCGGCAATACCCCCACCGCACCCTCCTCTACAGGCCCCGCCACAATGCACGTAGCGGAGGCGGGGCCCTCCCGCTCGTCTGGGCATGTTGGGGGAGGTACCCCTTGAGCCCGAGTGGGAGCAGTGGTGGTCCGAGAAGGAGGAGGGGCAGCTCCGGGTACCGGGCAACCAGGGGTGCCAGCAATGGTGGGGCTGGCGCCCTGCTGGGGCTCGGGGTCCCGGACGCTCCTCCGTGCCGGACCAAGGGGCAGTCCCTCCGGACGTGCCCTATCGCCCGG